CACTGCCCAATTGGAACGTGTTAATTAGCAATATCAACAGAGCAGTCACAATGTGAAAGAGCAACAGTGACCAGATTAGCCTCCTGCTTGAAAATGGTGCATCCTGGTCTGAGCTGATGCCTATGGCTGCTGCTCGCTGCTTCTGCTTCTGTAGGTAAATACAAGACTATCCCCTGGCAATGTCAAGCCAGCACCTTCCACATGAACTAGGCATCCATAGGTGTACACAGAGATACTAATCTAGTGCCTGGCTATTTTAATGTCTACCTGGCACACCCACAAGCACCGTTCTTCTAACAGGGTGGATGGAACTGTGTTGCTTAATGTTGCAGGGACAAGTGCAAAATCCTGCACTTAGGATGGAAAAATCCCATGCACTGGTACAGGCTGGGGACCAACTGGCTAAGCAGCAGCTCTGTAGAAAAGGACCTGGGGGTTACAGTATGTTGAATATCAGCCAACAGTGTGCCCTTGTTGCCAAAAAAGCTAACAGCATCCTGGGCTACATTAGTAGAAGCACTGCTAGCAGATCATGGGACGTGATTATTCTCCTCTATTCAGCACTGGTGAGGCCACATCTGGAGTACTGTGTCCAATTTAGGGCCCTCCACTGCAGAAAGGGTATCGACAAATTGGCATGAGTTGCAGCAAGGGAAGTTGAGGTAAGATATTAGGAAAACCTCTCTCCTGAGGAGGGTAGTAAAACACTGGAACAGGTTACCTAGAGAGGTGATGGAGTCTCCATCCTTGAAGGTTTTTAAGACCTGGCTAGAAAAAGCCTTGGCTGGAATGATCTAGTAGGGGCAGGTCCTGCTTTGTGCAGAGGGTTGGACTAGATGACCTTCTGCAGTCTCTTCCAACTCTCATTTTCTATGATGCTATGGAGGAGTCTCTCCAGAATTAATGAGTGTGTTCAGAGACTTTACATGGATGCCCAAAGGGGTAAAAGCAGTAATGGCTGCTCTCAGTCTCCAATTGTGGGAGCTGACTCTCTGGGTTTCCAAAATGGTTTAGTGCTGAACATACCTACAGGCAAACCCCTTCCCCCCGCTCAGAAACAGTTACATACCTTCACCCTGCAGCTCTACCATTTGCTTTAAAGCCCTACCAGACTTAATGCAAACATCTGCCATAACCACTCTCCCCTCACTAGTCTTTTTCATGCCCCAAAATGTATGGAGAAATGTTGGTATAGACCCTCAGCACATGGTACTCCCTCACATGCTTCGATGGGCCTCAAAACAGTTAACAACGTCGATATTTCAAATTTTTCCTCTGGCAATGGCCTTTGTCACCTGTTAAAAGGAATTCAGTAGTTCAGAGCTAGCTTCAGACTCTGCAAACTCAGGCAGATCAATCTGCCTCAGCTACACGTTGCTGAGATCTTCTTTGCATATATATCAGCTAGAAATACAAAAAGCAAATGCTGAGATTCTGGAAAACAATCAAGATGTCTGTCCATGTTCCCCATATTTGAACTTTTATGCCTCTCCCTTCCTAAGAGGAATACCTCCCACCTTTGAAAGCATCATATTACCTTGAAGGTAGTCAATAATAGAGCATGGACTTATTCTTTAAAATCTCCTTATTCTTTCAAAGGCATTGTCTTCAAATTGCTTGTAAAGTTCATACCTTCTCTGGTCCAACTTTCTGATCCCTAGTATCTTTATCTGGTATCTAACTGGCTTAGCTTTTCCTGACCCTAGCCCAAAGGAATATCAGCTCTGGCAAAGGAATATCAGCTCTGGCAACTAGCTCTCTTTGGGACCAGCATAATAAAACAATTAGCATTACACGTAGCACTTGTAATCTTCTGCATATTGCACAACTATTAGCTAGTTCACTCTCCCAACACCTTTATACACTTGGCAAATATTATCATCCTCTTGGTCAAGACAAAGAAGCGGCAAGAGCAAGGTTTAAACTCTGGAGTTGCTCACTGCTGACATCAGGAATATGAGGAAAGACTTCTGTTCCCAAGCTCTACTTGACTCGTATTTCACATGAGCCTTCTAACAAGAGGAGAATTATTCCTTTCACCTCCCTTTTGCCATGGGGAAAACTCATAGCATGTTTGATTAAAATATTAATTTCTGCTGATTGTGCTGGTGGTTGGAGTTGGTTCCCACAGCTCTAATAACAGTATCAGTTGCATTTAGGATACATAGTCCCAAAAACCTCATGGCTAGCCAGGCAGAGGACTATATCTGTGTCTGCTACTCCAGGTACATGGAAGGAATGATCTACAGAGACATGCTAACAGAGGCCAAGGTTGCCTGTAAATAGCATACTAATGAAGAAGCAGCTACTTTCAGTCACCAGGTGCCTATACAAGTGGCGATTTTTGCCATTTAAAGCATTCTAAAGCTGTCACTTGATCCATACGGGTGACTTTCGCATGTTTCTAAAATGACCAAAGTCGCCTTAATTAAACCTCTTTGTATGTGTTTTAAATGTGAGTGAACTTCAGTATTGTGTCTCAGCCTGCCTAGTTTGCCTTTATTGCACATGTATTTAACTGGGGCTTCCCCATGGCCTCAGGCTGCATTGTGCAGCATCCGGTGCCCCTTGCCTCTTACTCTACAGAACAACAGCAAGGCACAAATTCGGACCAAGCCATGCAACATCTATTAAGTCTTAAGGCACTGCACCTAGAGCGCTTTAAGTACAGCACAAAAGTTACAGCACCTTTGGAAATGCTTGCCCTGCATGTGTATAGGCACCCCAAATTCAGAAGTAAACCTATTAGCTCTCCCAGATGAGCAGTGCTATGACCAGCAGAGGGTAGTAGATTACATAGACACAGCCTACATTACCACTTAGCATTGGGCAACATAGGGACAAGAGGAAAGAACTTGGGGCATCTATACACATGACAGAGCTCTGCTCCGATGCGTGCGAATTAACACGCGTCAGAGCAGACAGCGATTCATCGAGTCTGCCAGAGTGTGCTAATTAGTGCACGCCAGCAGCCTCCATGTCACGTGTATTCAGCGTCCCTGTGTTTCAAAATGGTGGCAGAAATGCTTTAAGTAAAGCTTGTCAAACTATAAACACTGGAGCCCATCATAGCTGAACACAGAGCACAATGTTCTCCAAAAAGCCAAGCCATCTCTCAACCCAGTCCGTAACTGTGCCCGACACCTCCCCCACACCATGATCCTGCAGAAGCCTTTCTCTCCCAGTGTTCGAGTCTTCATCTGTAGGACACTTGCTCTGAGCCTACCACCCCTGCTAATAACATCAGTAGTTGTGCATGATAGTGTTAGGTAGGAAATGCTCATGCTCCAGGATGTGAGATGTGGTGTTAGGGGTCAGGAAGGAATTTCATCCTCTTGAATCATCAGGGATTGGTCAAACTGGAGACCAGATACCAAACACCATCAACCAGTAGCAACAGCAAGGCACAAATTTGGATCAAGCCATGGAACATCTATTAAGTCTTAGGATCTTGGAGTCATTATTGATTCCAAAATGAACATGAGCCACCAACATGGGGACACGGTCAGGAAGGCCAACTGTACCTTGTCATGCATCCACAGATGCATCTCAGGCAGGTCCAAGGAAGTGATCCCCCTCTATGCGGCCCTGGTCAGGCCATAGTTGGAGTACCATGTCGAGTTCTGGGCACCGCACTTCAGGAGGGATGTGGACAGCATGGAGAGGGTGCAGAGGAGGGCCACTCGCATGATCAGGGGGCAGCAGGGCAGGCCCTATGAGGAGAGGCTATGGGACCTGAACCTGTTCAGCCTCCACAGGAGAAGGTTGAGAGGGGATCTGGTGGCCACCTACAAACTTGCCAAGGGGGACCAGCAGACTATGGGAGAGTCCCTGTTCCCCCAACCACTACCGGGAGTTACAAGGAATAACAGCCATAAGTTGCCTGAGAGTAGATTCAGGCTAGACATCAGGAGGCGCTACTTCACAGTCAGGGCGGCTAGGATATGGAACCAACTTCCTAGGTAAGTGGTGCTCACCCCTACCCTGGGGATCTTCAAAAGGAGGCTGGATAATCACCTAGCCGGGGTCGTTTGTCCCCAGTACTCTTTCCTGCCCATGGCAGGGGGTCAGACTTGATGACCTGATTAGGTCCCTTCCCTTCATACAAACTATGAAACTATGAATAGTAAAGTCCAGCCTACAAATCCTATAGGACAGAATCATATTTCCATTCAACCAACTAAGTCTGGAATAACTCCAGCAAAGTCAGTGAATAACATAGTTCATCAGCCTCAAACTATGCAACACCTGCTGCAATGCCCACTGCTTCAAGGCACATGTAGAACAAAAGATCTGGTAAAGTACAATAAATGAGCAGAAGCATGCATAATAAAATGGTCAAATGTGGTGTAGACACACAAGAGGAAGTGAATAACATGAGATTCAATTTGGCTTTATTTTGCTAGCTTTTTCTGGTCATGGATAGTGAGAAAAATCTTGAACCTATGATTAAACTTTCCATACTACACATCATTGAAGATTTGAGTAAACCAATTTGATTTCGCAGTTCAAGCAGACAGAATGCATCTTTTCATTTAAAAATCCTGGTTTTAATGTTTTTAACAATGAAATAGAAATGACATGACTTGCTAACTGCATTGTACAGAACTCAAGCCAGTCTTAAGGATATTGCATGTCAGCAGCATGGCCAGGTGTTAACAGTGGAGGTAAGTGGCTTTGTAAGCTAATCTGTTTTACAGCTTGAGTTACAGTAAAGTAGAAGAGACACTGTGCTGATAAAAGCCTCAGCAAAGCTGGTGATGTCCACATCATGTCCTATTGCTGTGCCTCTTCCACATGGTGAAAAATTACAAAGCTTAGCCCTGGCACACCTGTATCTAGTTTTTCTTCCCAGCTCCCACACATGATGGATACTGTCATCTCCATTTTGCAAAGGGGGAAGATCAGGTATAATGGTGAATGTAAGCTACTATAATTTACATTTCCTTTCAGTCCTTCCAGAGGTTGGACTCTCATCTGAATTTGACTGAAGAGGTTGGTTAATTGACTTGCCCAAAGCCAGGGGTAGAGGCAAGCGTGCAAACTGGACTGTCTTGGAACTTTGTCTGATGGCCATTGCACTAAACCCTTTTCCTTCCCAATGTACAGAAAGCCCACTGAGATAGACTTGTCCTAAACCAAAGCAAATACTCGGGGAAGATATCAGCAAGAACCCGTGTCAGCCTCTCCCTAAAGGAATCACCAATCTTGTCCCCTCTCCTACACCCTATAAGCTTTTGAGTGGTCTATTCCTACTCCACACTAGCTCTAACATTATCCACTAGCCACATCAAAGTGCATTGAACTCAGTTCTGGGCATTCATCCCCATCTGCACTTGTCTCAGAAATTAACTGACATATGAGGTTTGAACAATGATAATGAAGCAGGTCATCTGGACCCAGTTCAGTCAGCTAGCATAAATGGAGCCCAAACCTATCAGACCAACAGTGCTGCAGGCTGGGTTAGGACTGGGACTTCAGGTAAGTAAGAGTAATGGGGAGAACATCTCCCCTCTTCTCCACTAACAAGCTCCCACCCACCCGCTGTCTGGGGAAGGGGTTCTTTCCCACGGCTCCCCACTCCCTTTGTCAGTGTGATCAAAGCTCCCTCTTCTGTTACTTATCTTCTTTAGCCACTGGGCTGGCCCCACTCCAGACCATAATGTTTGATAACTGTCCTCACCTGACTCGACCTGGTTGAGGTGGTGATAGAAAAACCACTGAGATACTGTCATCCTCATTTAGAAAGTTCAAAACTATGTTTATTTGGCCAATGGAAGCTCCCAAGTCAATCTGCACTCTGCTCACAGCACTCCCTAAAGTCTGCTATATCTGCCAGGCTAGTCACTACACTAACAATCAATTCTGAAGGGCTGGAAAAGTGACCTTACATGAAATGTTGTTCATGAGCCAAATCCTGAGGGCCTGACTCTGTTTTCACTCAATAATTCCCCAGACAAGACATGCTGTAGCCCATACTCTGTTTGCAGAGGTCCTGGTGCACTGGGGCAAGCACCAGTGGAAGTTTTGCTCAAGAAAGAACTCACTGGAAATCTAAGCAAAGACTTCAGGATTTGGCCTTTCATGAAAAGAAAGTAGTTTTGAATGAGGTCTAAGTTGAATTATTGCTGAAGCTATTTTATAATGACTTCTTTTAATTATTATTATTATTATTAGGCTCAAGAGGCATTTCCTGGAAAGTACTTCTTAATCGATGCTCTGAGCTGTTAGAAAAAAAAAACATTTTTCAAGACCCATTCCCTACATATCTGTGTGTTATTAGATACCATTAGAAACAACTTTAAGGACATGTCACTCTCTTCCTATTCAGAACAACAGTGGCTGATGTAGTACCCCTTACAAGAATACTGGTATATAGGATATCAAGCTCAGGGTCTATTGCTTCTTGACAAAGAGGTCTTGTGAAGCCTCAGTGGAGGGTTCTGGCATGACTTGGATCTTTTGGTTCGAGAGGGCCGCTTCTCTCATTTTGTAGTACATGAACTCGTTCTGCTGGAACATGCGCAGCTCCATCTCCGTCTGAACACGCATGACCTGCAGGGATGCAATCAAAGGGCAGACCAAGAAGCAAAAGCTGTGACAACAGTTCTCAAAATCAACAGAGAAAGCATTTTCTAAAAATGGGATAGCGGCTTCTCGTTCACAACCTCTAGCAGCCTCTAGTTAAGTGGGCTAGACCAGTTTGAGGGCATAGCTGTCAAAGGCCCCTTCATGTAAAATGGGACGCTTCGATTTCACACAGGAAAGGCTCAAAGCTGACTAGACACAGACATCTTCTCTCCCAAGTCCAGCTGTGTTCCTGACCGACAAGTCTGGTTAGTGGTGGGGAAGACAGGGATTGCTTAATTTAATTATTCTTTGGAGAAATACCATCCACATGCCCAGAGCTGGCATCTCAGCTCTCTTCATGAGAACAAAATCAGTTCCCATGCTAGCTTATAAGCTGGCCTGCACAGACCCAAAAAGGATCCTAAAAATTACTTTTCCACCCCAGGCAAGCTGGTCCTGGGGCCCAGGTGCCTAGGGGTAAGCAGATGCTGTAAGCTCATTGCACCTCTCCCATAAAATGTAGGCAGGTTTAGAGAAGACCAGGGCCCCCTCTGCCAAGATGAAGACCAATGACCAACAAACAAGCCCTGTCAAACTAAAGTATTAGTTTTTGCGAATCAACCCAGTGGTAAAAGTGTTGGTGTGATTTCTCTAAAGGATCAGCTTTTGTACAGTGTAATGTTCTGATTAACAAACTAGAATAGGAGCAGCAACACTGTATTGGGGAAACACTTTAACAGAGCTAAGCTCCAAGCGTGGGCCTCTTCCAACCTGGACTGCACTGCCACCATGGCTGGAAATGGAGCAAGGGCTGCAGACACCACTTCCACCCCACATCCACAGTGCCGCTGCTGCTTCTCCCACCACCTGGGAGAAGAAGGCCCCATGCTGCAGAAGCACCACCAAAGCCCCCTACTGCCAAAACGCCACCCAATCTTGCTGGGCCAGATAAAATGACTCTATAGGCTGGATCTCGCCTGTGAGCCATAGTTTGCTAACCCCTGAACTAGAACAATACAAACCCAACATAGCACCCACTAGATGAATTAAACACTGGTTAGCTGTTACGTCTCAAATCTGTTTGTAAATGGAGAATCATCCTAGAGTGGGCATGTTTCAAGTGGGGTACCACAGGGATCAGTTACTGGCCCAATGCTATTTAACACTTTTACGAGTGATTTGGGGGGAAATACGTTAGTGATAAAGCTTGCAGGTGACACAGAGGTTGGGGGAGTGGGAATAATGAAAGAGACTGGTCCCTTATACACATCAGACAGTTCTGTGAGCCTTAGCTAAGCTGCTTTGGAGCAGGCGTATCCATTCTTGCATGCACACTCCACCCCAATAAAAAAATTCACCAAATGCCCAGCAAAAACTCTGACCATATTTATCTATCAGAAAATGCTAACAGAAGCTCATTTTACCAGTTGTCCAAAGACACATTTTGAATGGAAAAGATGCTTTTTGTTTTGAATTGACATTTTAAGTTAAAATATCATTTGGAATCAGTCAGCAAATAACTTTTTTTACTGTAAATCAATACTTCAAAAATAAAACACTGTCTTTCAAAATAAGACTTTGTTTCAACATGTCCCAATAAAAGAGATCCAGAACTGTTTACAAGAATTCCCAATATGTTGATATTTTATCCCAATTTAAGATGGAAGCCAATATGGACATTTCCCGTAACAAGGAAATTTTATTCTCCTTACCAGCTGCAATAAAATCTAATGGACTTTCATCACTCTGTATGAAGCAAGCTTTATATTATTAATGCTAGATTTT